AAAAACTAAACCCTAAGTAGACTCAGAGTTAGAGGATGAGAATGAGGAAATTACAGTGCCAAAAGTCAGTGTGGTCCTCAGTTACTAAAAGCCTAGGCTGGATGACAAGCGTGACCTCTTGAAGGAGCTAGAAGCATCAGTGCAGGCAGAGTAGTTGTAGTGCCATGATCACAGGATCTCAGGAGGACAAGGAGTGCTAAAGCTAAGCAAGGAGTGCTAAAGAGCCCTGGCAAAAGAAGCTGCTAAAGCCAAGCTCCCCAGGCAAAGGGTCTCCTTATCTGAGAGCACCAGTCAGAGACACATGAGTGGATGTCCAGAGCCTCAGTGTCTTAGTCTTAGTCGCTCCAAGCACTTCTTGCCTCTTACTGAGTTTCAAGACTAAAGAGCTCCATGTGGGAGGTCAAACGCCCCAATGGATAGAGAGATTATGCACAAATTCCTGAGGAGAAGTGAGGGAAAGGGAAAGGGAGCTGGGAAGGAGGTAGGGGGGAAAAGGGAGGTGGGCAAAACTAGTGTAATTAGCACAGGGGGCTCAAGAAGTGCCCATCTCAGTCTTGCTCCCTTGGCTGCTGGGGGGGAAAAAAGGTATCCCTAGCAGAATGACACCAGTGAAGGAGGAATGGAAAACACATAGCTTCCGATACCCAAGGCACTCAAGAGCTGACAAGAGCCTCAAGGGGAGCCTCAGCACCATTACCAGGAATTGGGTTACAAATATTGATTATGTACTGAGAGTCTGATGTGCTATGGACTTGGCATTGTAAGGAGGCACTGTTGGGGGCTATGAGATTGGAGTGCATTGTCGTCTGTGCCCTTGGTGCTTACACTTGATGAGACTAATAACATGAAACCATAAACCACCATACAGATTGGGTAAAATTTTGTGGAATATATTAAAAAATACTGTACAAGAAATTTGGCTGTCAAAGACAAGCAATCACTTGATGAAAGAGGTCGGATTTAAGCTTGGTCTCTAATAGAATTTACAGAGAGAACATCCTTCTTGGAAAAAAGAGGAACAGATAGATTGCATCTCACAAATATGCTGAAGGTGTGTGTCCTGGATTGTCCTGGATTGGCAGAAATAAAACTGGGATTCAGAAAGGAAAAAAAGGAATCTTCCAGTGCTATAGAGCTAGCTGGCTGCCCCAAATGTCCATTTGGGAGTGGAGCATCAACTGCTAGGTTCCCAGAACTGGCCCAGGACAGGGGTCAATCCTAGGCTGGTATGACCACCATCCTATAATCTCCACCGAAGCCTGCATCAAGAAAAGGGGTGGACCTGTGGAATGTGTTTTCCCATCTGAACCTAGTTCTTGCTTGATCAGGAGTACTGCTCCTCCATGCCAAGTAGCCCAACATCCCCAGACACATGAGAGGAGCATTTCCAGTATGGGTGGACATTAGCCCCCCCTGTGCAGTAGGTTGTTATTTTGTCCTTAGTGGCCCCGTGCAGAAAAGTCTGGAGCTGAGGCTGAGCCTGGGAATTGTGTATGGTCTCCTCCCTCTTCCCTTTTCTGTTTCCCTCCCCAACCTCTAGGCCAGCCCCCCCCCATACACTTGACTTTGAGTCTCTAGGAACACCCCTGCTGTGTCCTGGCCTCCCCTTACACTAGACCCACCCACCTTTCCTTCACTTACCTTATGCCTCTTTCCTGCTGCTTCTGTCTCCTCTAGAACTCCATCCGCCACAACCTGTCCTTGCACAGCAAGTTTATCAAGGTTCACAATGAGGCCACTGGCAAGAGCTCTTGGTGGATGCTGAACCCTGAAGGAGGCAAGAGTGGCAAGGCACCCCGCCGCCGGGCTGCCTCCATGGATAGCAGCAGCAAGCTGCTCCGGGGCCGAAGCAAGGCCCCCAAGAAGAAGCCATCTGTGCTGCCAGCTCCACCTGAAGGTGCCACTCCAAGGAGCCCTATGGGCCATTTTGCCAAGTGGTCAGGCAGCCCTTGCTCTCGAAATCGTGAAGAAGCTGATGTGTGGACCACCTTCCGTCCACGAAGCAGTTCCAATGCTAGCACTGTCAGCACCCGGCTGTCCCCCATAAGGCCAGAGTCTGAGGTGCTAGCAGAGGAAGAAATACCAGCCTCTGTCAGCAGCTATGCAGGGGGTGTTCCTCCCACCCTAAATGAAGATCTAGAGCTGCTGGATGGGCTCAATCTCACATCTCCCCATTCCCTGCTGTCTCGAAGCAGTCTTTCTGGCTTCTCTTTGCAGCATCCTGGTGTTACTGGCCCCTTACACACCTATGGCACCTCTCTCTTCGGCCCAACAGAGGGGCCCCTGTCAGCAGGAGAAGGGTGCTTCTCAGGCTCCCAGTCTCTGGAGGCCCTGCTCACCTCTGATACGCCACCACCCCCTGCTGATGTCCTCATGACCCAGGTAGATCCCATTCTGTCCCAGGCTCCCACACTTCTGTTGCTGGGGGGTATATCTTCCTCCAATAAGCTGACCACAGAAGTCGGCCTGTGTCCTAAGCCCCTAGAGGCTCCAGGCCCCAGCAATCTGGTTCCCACTGTTTCTATGATGGCACCACCTCCAGTCATGGCAGGTGCTCCCATTCCCAAGGCCCTGGGAACTCCTGTGCTCACACCTTCTACTGAAGCTACAAGCCAAGACAGAATGCCTCAAGATCTAGATCTTGATATGTATATGGAGAACCTGGAGTGCGACATGGATAACATCATCAGTGACCTCATGGATGGGGGTGAGGGACTGGACTTCAACTTTGAGCCAGGTATGGCAGCCCCCAATTTCCATAGCATCCTCAAACTCACACCCATGCCCATGATCTGAGCCAAGAAGAGAGTTCCAACAAGGGGTGGCCAGAGCTCCTGGAGAATTGGAGGGAAGATGTCATATTAGAGTGGCATAGGTTCTATTAGGGTGAACAAAAGGAAGCCATCATTATAACAGTTACCACCAGGCACCTTAGCAGTACCCACCCCTATAAGCAGAGGGTGGTATATGGAGGGAAAAGGGTGTCTTTCTTTTCATTGGTATGAATCTGGATGGTAGAAAGTTGACTTGCCCCAGATAAATCTCTTATTTTGTCCTCTGTTTCTTCCCACAGATCCCTGAGTCACAGCTGGAAGTTTTGTCCCCTGCTTCAGAGGTGGAGCCAGGCGTGTCCATATCCACTTTTTTCCCCTGAGCCCTCCCCAGGAATTTGGGACCCTGCTTTAGAGATAGGGTGGGGTCTGGTCACACACGGGTGTTGAGGAAATTATAAAGATAAAGCTGCACCATATGGGGACTATGAGGGGAGGGGCATGGGAGGGGGAAAGTGTTTATTCTCACTGTGCCAATTAGGGGGTAATTAAGGCCCTTTCTCAGGAGCCATCCTTAGTTTTCCCCATTCCCACCCCCTAGGCTTTGTAGTAGGGGGCAGCAATGCTGTTGGAAATGTGAAGTCACCAGTGGCCTTACCCCTGCCTTTGGGAGCAGGAATTTTTTTTTAAGAGAGTCTTATCTGAGCTGGGCCAGGCTAGGTTGAGCCTGGGATTTTTATGCAGTGGCCCCTTAGGCCAGTGGGGTGGGGTGGGTGGGGGGAATTGGGGACCTAAAAGGGCCAAGGTCTGAGCACTGGAGTAGCTCACCAGGCCAAATCACCTTTGGAAGGCTGCAGATAACAAAGGCTTTTTATAAACTTTTAAAGAAACAAACACAAATATAGAGATTTTTAACAGTGGCAAGGTGCTAGTGATGGGGAGAATGCTTTTTTTCTTTCTGAAGGTTTTATCATAGTGACATGATACAAACACTACAGACAATAAATATTAGAGGAAATGTGGGGGGAGAGATGGGGAGCAATAGTGAACTGGGGAAGAGCTCCCATTTGGACCAGGTCTAGAAAAAGGTCTATGTGTCAGTCGGAGTTTCCCTAAGGGGGAAAAAAAGCCCTAAGACAGGCCCCCACTTTCTGTCAACTTGTGCCTGGGAGAGTGTGGTGTTGGGGTACAGCCACACTGTGTATAGACTTAATGCAGGTTAGTGCTACTAGCGGAGGGTGCATGGAAGGCATGGAATTAGCTTGGGGCCTGGAAGGGAGAAAAGAGAAGGAGGGAAGGATTTAGGGTGGTAAAGTTAGGTACAGAGACCTCCCTGTTCAAGGCCCCTGACAGCTGTCCCTGCCCTTCTTCCCCTTCCCTGACTACGGGGGTTATGTGTGGAAGTGTGTGGTAGCAGGCAGGGGGGAGGAGGAGAGGAACCAGGAAGGGGGAGCTGGGGAGCTTGGCTGAGGGTCTGGGAAATGAGCAGGGATGGGGGAGAATGTGGATCAGGTTTACTAGCACCTGCCAGGGAGGCCATCTGGGGCTCCTTCTCCACCCCAGCCCCCGAAGCATTCCCTCCCCCAGTGCCCTTTGCATTGTCCCCTCCCCCACCCCTGCTGTGGGTTCCCATCATTTCCTGTGTCGGCGCCTGGCCTACCCAGATTGTATCATGTGCTAGATTGGAGTGGGGAAGTGTGTCAAATCAATAAATGAATAAATTCAATAAATGTCTATAACCAGCTCTGGTTTCTGCTGCCTTGCTGCTCCCCGAGGATAAGGGGGAGGGAGGGGGAAAGGCGAAGGGCAGTAAGTTGAAGGGCGGGCGGGAGGGGCTGCCCGGGAGGCAGTGAGGTGGGGGTGGGGGAATTTCAGCCTGGGAGGTAGTGGAGCGTGGTGGGGGAGGGACACCTAGCCCCTGCAGGAGTAGGCGGTTGTGAGATAGGCCTCCCTAAGGGAGGTAGTCTGGTTTGAGAAGACCCCACCCCCACCAAGGCCCTCAAAGGCTCATTGTACTAGACTTCACAGTCTTTCCTCACCCCCACCCATGTGCTGGCTCCCGCCCTCTTCTGTCGCTCTCAGTCCACCCTGGGAGCCTCCCCGGTGCCTGGGGCCTACTTAAGCCTTTGTGCGGATACTGGGAGAAGGAGTCTTTCTGGAAAAAGGAACTTCACGTTAAATTCCACGAATTTCATACCCAGAGTTGCTGCTCTTGGTCACTATATTGAGTTAGCGATGTTTACCCTTCCTACTGAGAAAGTCTGCTCTGGACTTATAGAGTGGTCTGCGGGTAGGAGGGGGCCCAACTTCATGAGAACGTCCTGATTTGGTCTAGAAAGGGAAAGCAAATCGATTAGCAAAGAGGAAGAGGCCCTGCCAGGATGATTTCTACAATCTAGGGACAAAGGAAGGATGGAAGAAGTTGGAGGCAGGTCTTGGGCATAGATGTTGGATTCAGTAACGAAATTTATCCCAGGGGGCCAGTGTGGAGGAACCTGCAGTTGGCTGGTGGGAAGAGGGGGGTGCTGGGCCAGGCTGCACTTGAGTCTTACTGGGAGATTCACAGAGGATTCAACTGCAGCGACTTTCTTGGCTTCTAGGCTTCTAAGCATCTTCACTCTGCTCCTTTCCAGGAAGTCACATTGTGTGCGTAGTGCCTCTAGGAACAGGAAAAGGCACCCACATCTCTGAGGATTAGAGACCTTACACATCCTGACCCTCCCCATCATTCAACTGCTCAACTGGAGTAACCTGGACTAAAATGAAAATGACAGGTCACCACCTGTATAGGGACCTATATTTTCCCTATAGGGAAATATACAGAGAAGATGGCAGAGAAATGGAGGAAGAAATGACACACAATAAATATTCCTCCTAAAGTGGACCTAGATCTTGCCCCTCCCTTTCCTAAGCTCCTGTGATCCCCCTAGCATAGTAAGCTAGTACTACCCTATATTTTGCATTTTCTTTCCTTTTTTTTTGAGACAGTCTTGTTATGTAAGTCCAACTGGCATCCAACTCTTAAAGTCCTCCTGCCTCAGCTTCCCAAGTGCTAGGATTACAGGTGTGTGCCACCATGACTTCCTACCCTATATTTTCTATCACACAGCTATGTGCAGTACTCTCCATGTTTTTCCCTCCCCCATCACACTCCTTACCAACTAGCTCTGTTTCTGGATTCTTCAGGAGGGGCACAACAGCTCTGTAGGCATTCTCAAGTCTGGTTCCTGTGAACACAGTAGTGTGCTATCACCAGCCCCTGTTACCCACTCTCCACCCTTCTGAAGCCCAAGATTTCAGGACTCTTAACATTAGTCACTACTTGCACCTTATTAAACACTACCTTATACCTTAATTCCTCTCCTTTGGTATGGATCTACAGGTGAATTATGGACCCTAGGATGAGGTGGGGTGAGATGGTATGTGTGAACCTAACCTATTGTCATTCAGGCAATGCCTTTTTTTTTTCTTTTCTTCTTAATTTTTTATTTTGTTTATTTTTGCAGTACTGGGAATTGAACCCAGGGCCTTGCACATTCTAAGCAAGTACTCTAGCACTCAAGCCATTCCCCCAGCCCAGAGGCAGTGCCTTTTCTTTAGGATGACTGAGTAGATATGGTCAATTTGGACCTGGTTGAGTGTACCCAATTTTTTATTTATGGGGTTGTTTTGTGGGGTTTTTCTGGAGGGGGTGTTTGCTTGTTTGTGAAGCAGGGTCTTATTATATAGTCCAGACTGGCCTCGAACTCACAATCCTCCTGCCTCAGCCTCTTGAGTGCTGGGATTACAGGTGAAGGATACCTTCCCCTGTAAAATAGATCATGGTTCATGATCCATCTTGAGAGATTAGCTCTATCTTCTGGAGAATGCTCGCAATCCTCTACCTGCTGCCCCACGCACCACCTTACAAACATAGTAGGTGTTTCGAACTGTAAGGAATTTGCTGGCATAGTCTGCAGGGGTCTTCGTCAGAAAAAGTAGCTTCATTGTCCCTGATTCATCACACAAATCGATGGTGTCTAGAGGGAAGTCACAGGGTGATTGGGACAGCTAAGGACAGAATGGGAGCAAAAAGGGCCAATGATCCTATACAGGATGGGTTGGAAGAAGTTGTAGGATATGAGGAAGGAGCTCCCTTCTTGTGAAGAAGAGGGTTTAGAGGCAAGAGGTGACCCTGTTGTTTCTGACCCTTGGCCACTAGTCCTCTCCCCCAAACTCCTCACCTGTTTTACGCAACCCCATTTTCTTGCGAATGTAATGCAGCAACAGGAGAACAGAACAATTGGTATTGGCCAGAAACTGACGATTATCTGAGAAGAGATGGGATGGAGCATGCAGGCCCTCCTTGTAGTTCTACCATCTTAATGTCTGCTGCCCTCAACCCTCCGCATGCCCATGCGTAGACTCTTAGCTCTATGCTGCCTCTCACCTCCATGTTTGATAAAGATGAACATTCTCTCGGTCTGCAGAGAGCCTTCTGATGAGTCATGTGGAAGGAAGGTGTTCTAGAGGCCCTGGGGGTCAGGGGGACCCATAGGGCTGGGGGTTGGGGGGCAGATGGATCTATAAGCTGAGGAAGCCAGAATAGGCAGGTAGGAGACAGCTCTTGGCAGTTGTGGATAACCAGCATCCCTAGGGATGGGGCCTGAGCTGCAGTTGAAGGATTATGAGGTCAGAAGTGGTATATGTAGTGAATGGCAAAGCAAGAAGGACAGTAGTTGGGTGAGATCTGATAAGATCTGTTGGAAATGGGGGCAACATGGCAAATCTAACTCTAAAGTGGTCCCTGGAATGAGTACAGAAACTTACTGGAGAAAAGTAAGTTTCCAGAACATTACCCCTTTCTAGTTAATTTGTAATACTACTTGCTTCTACAATATGACTCTCTTTTATTCCTACCCTCACACCTTGCCTCCCACCCTTATTATACCCCCTGATCCCCACCCCCACGACAAACATTCTTAATTATTAGCAGAAACTTTATTTCTCATTGATTCAGGAACAATTGAAGGGTAGGTAGAAAGAGGAAGAGAGGGACAGAGAGATGGAGGGACAAAAATTCCTGTAAAAAGGAAGGGCCAGATTGGGGGAGATGAGAAGTTTGTACAGGGCAAAGGGACAGTTCTCAAGTAGGGTGATATTGAATTAAGGCATAGTTACAGGGGGCATAAATTTAAAATTAGGGTTGGGGTATAGCTCAAATGGGAGGCTCTGGGTTCAATCCCCAGTACCAAAACAAAAAAAAAAATTCAAAATTAGCCATAGAGAGTGGTAATGAGTACTAGACCTAGATTGACAGGGTAGGTGAGGGGAAGTTAGTACCATTTAGGGTTATAAGACCCTGAGGTTCCATGAGGGGATTGAGGCTCAGGTTTTAGGCTTCAGGGTATAACATGGAGGGGCCCAGTAAGGGCTATGCTGGCTGCAGGGGGAGCCCCCAGGCTCCTCCCCTAAGGCTCCTCCTTTTGGAGGAATCTCACTGACGTGGCAGAACCGTTCACTGTAATCTGGCTGCAGACTCTCGGCCAGTCCTTTAGACACACCACTCCAGGCCTAAAGACAGATATCTCCAGGTCAGAGGTCAATTAGCAGCAGGGAGCAAAAGACCCAGGCTCTGTACCAAAGAAGCTCTCATGATATCTGCAACCGTTATGATTACAGAAGGGACAACCAGACTCTTGGACCCCCAATACACAGTTTCCATCCACTTTACACAATCTGTAATCCATTTTTCTGTGTGTCTCTCTCCTAGCCTATCCCCCATTTGGTTGGTCACATCCTGACAGTTAGTACAGGCTCCCTTCTCCTCCCCCTCAACTGTCTTGCTGGCCAGCCTTGGCAGTTGATAGACTGCAGTATGCTTATGACAGTGTTCTCACCGAAAAGTTCCCGTGATACTCAGTCACTAGATCCTCTAGGTTCTTGAGGGTGGGAATTCGAGGCATTGTCCTGGGCAGGGAGAAAGAGGAAGCACATAGGTTAGAGCTCCTTCATTACCTTTCTCCCAGCCAGCCATCCCATATGGGGCCAAGGGATTCCGTGTTCTCTGCCAGTAGCTTCCTCCCATCACCATACCCCCTTAGGTGACCCTGTGTTCCTTACTATCCTGCCCTCTGCCCCTGGAGACCCTGAAATAACCGTAGCCACCCCCACCTCATTTGGGGGGATTTCCTGAAATCTCACCGTTCCAGCCAAAAATACACAAAGAAGAGGCAAATGATCAATCCCATGGAGCCAAGGGGGATAAGCATAGCTTTCAATGCAAACCACAAAGGATTCTCTATAGAAAAAAAAAAAGGAAAGGAAAATGAACCTTACATTTGTGGGACCCCTATGAATATGCACCAGGCACTACGCTAAACACACTCCCTATACTTAACCTTCCTGACAGCTCCTGAGAGGGAGGAGTAATCATCTACATTTTACAGATGAGGAAACAGAGTCAGAGGCCAGTCCAGTTCCGAGGCCGTCTTCACCTCTCTGGAATGCTGTCGGGAAATGCTATACATTCCACACTTTCCTTGAGCACCCTTTGGCCTCCTTCTTAATCTACCCCCTACTCTGACAGCACACCCTCCCAGCCCTACACAGAACAGCCTGCTTCTTAGGGGTTGAGGTTGAGCAGTGAGGGAGCATCAAGCCTGGAGGCTTGGAAATAGAGAGGTAGAACAAAAAACAGTGGTGGTAGAAAGGTTGGGGTGCTGGGCTCATGGATTGGGGTCATTTATTTAGTCTACTTTACCCTTTGAAACACTGCTTCCCCAGTGAATTGGGTGGCTCCATTCACTCCAAAGCTCAGCACTTCCACAGAGTGGGTTAAAACGGCTCCGAACCCGGAATGTGTACAGTTTCTGCCCATCCACACTAGGCAGGGAGAAACTACGTCTGTGATCCACCATTTGTTTCTTGGGGAGAAAGAGGGTGAGGGAAAGGTGAGTGTCCATATAAGAAGGGAGAATGAAAACATATATCTGCCTAAAATGCAAGGTCATCTCCTGGCTGTTCCCAGTTCTGGTTCCTCTCATCAGTTCTTTTTTTTCAACACTGAGATTTGAACTCAGGGCCTCACACTTGCTAGGCAGGCAGTCTTACCACTTGAGCCACCCCCACCAGCCTTTTTTTTTTTTTTTTGCAGTACTGGGGTTTGAACTCAGGAGCTACAGCTTGAGCCACTCCACTAGCCCTTTTTCTGTGATGGGTTTTTTCGAAGATAGGGTCTCAAGTACTATTTGCCCAAGCTGGTTTCAAACCACGATCGATCTCTGCCTCCTGAGTAGCTAGGATTACAGGCATGAGCCACCAGCACCTGGCATATCAGCTATAATTTTTTTTTTTTGGTGATACTGGAGTTTGAACACATGGCTTCACACTGCGAAGCAGACCCTCTAAGGCTGGAGTCATTCCTCCAGCCCCTTACTCTCTTGACTACTCAAAACACCCTGCTCCCCTCATTAACTTGGCTCTAATGCCCCTCCCCCCAGGTCCCCATATGGCTTCCTTTTATTTCCTTGTCTACCTGGTATCACAAAGCGTATGGACAGGAAGACCTAAATGAAAACTCACTGGTTATGATAGAGGAAAGAGTTGGGTTGGGGGTGGGCAGTAGACAGAAAAGCTGGGAGGCAGAGGACAGGAGTTTGGTATTGGGTCCTCCTGTCTGGCTGTATGACTATTTTCTCCCTCTTGCTTGGTCTTAGTGCTACATTCATGTCCCCAGTCACTCACAGTCCAGCTGTGATCCCGGTCACTCCGATACTGCACCAAGTGTTGCAGACAGTGGTCCAAGTAGCTGTTGTCCCAGCTCAGTTCTAGCTGGGAATCACTGAGGTTGCGAAGTGTTAGATTCTCTGGAGCCCAGGGGATCACTGGAGATATGTGTGCATGTGTGGTCATTCCCCTGGCCTAGACAAGTCAGTATCTTGAAGGTAGTACCCCTCATCCCTCCTTCCCTCCCCATCCCCTCCCCCTACCTCCTCCCTTCTGCCCATATACAATGAGAAAGAACACCACTCCATAGACTACGCAATATTCCTGACCTCTTAACTACTTCTTTTGTGATTACCCAGATTCTGCAGTGTTAGCCTCTGTGTGACCTGTCTCCCGGGTATCCTGGGGTCTTGGAGCTGAACAAAAAATGCTTGATAGATATGGATTTCCTCTTTGGGCAACCAGCAGCCGGAAGTGATGTCTTCTGAGAACAGATAGTGGCCACACTCCTGGGATTTACCATAATCAGAGTTCTTGTACCTAGAGAAAGATTGGAAGGAAGAGGAATTCTGGGGCAAATTTGGGTACTGCACATGTCCACAGTCTAGCCTCAGTTGGTCTGAACTGACTTATAACTTTCTCAGGTAAAAACTACTGGGGTGGGCTGGGGATATAGCTCAGTGGTTTAGTGTTTGCCATGCACGCATGAGGCCCTGAGTTCAATCCCCAGTACCACAAAAAAAATGGGGTTCCCGGGAGGCTGACTACCCTCTTTCTTGGTCCCCATGCAGTCACTCTCAATGGGCCACCTCTGTTTCCTCCCCTGTGCAACCCCTCTTCCCTTCTCGTACCAATAGTGCAAAGTCAGGTTGGTAGGCTGGGGCTCAGATGTACTGTTCCAAGTGCAATTCATGTACTCGACATTGAACACAAAGCATTGAACCTCTGGGAGAGGTAGGGTGGAAACACTGAGAGACCCAGGGATCATAGAAGTCAAAAAGAAATCTAGGTTAGGGAGAAAATGAGTTAGGAGAGGGAAAGAGAAGAAATGATGGTCAGAGAAGGAGTACTGTAAGGCAATGAACCCTTCCCCTTCCCTTCCCCACTCTACTCTTAAACACTGCCCTCATTTTTGTAATGGTCACTGGCAGCTTCCAGGTTTCTTTATAACCCCTCCCTAGCCTCCCTCTCACCAACCCCCTCCGGCCCCAGATTTCCCACCAGCTGTGGTGTCTTCATTCCCACTGGGTGTGATGACCATGGAGCTCAGCCCCACCCCCAGCAGAGACAGCTGCAGGAGTAAGAGGAATCTGAGTGGCAGTGATGGCTTCAACATGGCGCTTGCTCTTCTTTCCCTGAGTGTAGTCTGTGTCCGGTACCTGGGCCCCTCACCCACTACCCCTCCCCACCCACACATTTCCTTCTGTCATAGCTTCCGGTGGAAAGAACCTTAGAAACCAGGCCTTTGCAGGGGGTGTGGCAAGTTCAGTGATGTAAGCTATGTCCTCTGGGAAAATGGGTCCTGTGTAACGTGTAAGGCTGGATCTACAAAGTGCCACAGGCTCAAAAATCCTCAGACCACGTAGAAAACCTGGGAAGGATCTGCTTGCCCCCACTACCACCATTCCCAGGAATCTTCTCCTCTAAATTGTTATCTTTTATAATGGAGGATCTGAACACCCCATCTTATGCTGTGATGCTTCCTTAGCTCAGTCACCCTTAAATCTCTGACAAAGCTCTACTGTCTTGAGAGTATGGAAAATACTGGCTTGGTTTATGCGGGCACATATGTAGCTATCTTTCCTCTGACCTAATCTGAACCAGAATACCTACACTTAGCTGCTGCCTGAGCTGGGTCCCTGTTGACATGGGTGAGATCTGACTTAGAAATGAAGGACTAAAAGTATTAGCTTCAAGCTCCCCATCTTCTCACAAATCTGCTTCACTTCCTGTCTTCCCTATCTCAGTTAATGGTATCATCACCCTCTCAGTCACCCAGACTTGATACCTCTGGATCCCCTTCAACTCCTCCCACCCCTCACCCTGAGAATCCAATCAGCCCTGCTTCTGTGGTGTTTCTCCCAGCAGTTTCCTCCTTTCCATTACCACAGCCTCTGTGCTAAATCAGCCTATCATTACCTCTAGTCATGATTATTACTGGAACCCACAAACCAGTCTTCCTTTCTAAAGGCCCTTTGCTCTCTAATTCATTCTTCATTCTGTGACTAGATTTACCTTCCCCCCAAAACACAGAGCTGACTGGAGAAGCTATTTACAGAAATTGTTTTTCAGCCAATATTTATTAAGTCTTTAATATATGCCAGGCACAGTGTTTATGTTCTGAGAACATACAGACAAATAAGACATTCTCATCATTCTTGAATACTCATAGATAAGTGGGGAACACATAAACAAATAATACAATATAGTATAATAAGTTTTATAGCGTAGATGTCGATATACTCCAAAGTATGTGAACACAGAAGAGGAAGTAACTAAATTGACCAGGACGGGGGAGGGATAGTCAAGGAAAGCATCAACGAAGAGGTGTTTTTTAGCAGAATCTGAAAAAATGAATGTAATTTTGTCAGACATTAAAAAGGGGGGATAGGACATAAGGCAGAGCACATGACTGGGGTGTCAGAAAAACTGGATCATTATGGTCCAGCCTCTGTAGCACTGGGATGAAAGGTGTGTGCCACCATGCCTGGCTACTTTTATTGTTTAAAAAGATTTTTTTGTACTGCTGGGATTCAAAATTCAAGATGTTTTGAGTATTTGTTCCTTCTAAATACTCTGAGAAAGAATTCATTTCATGCTTGTCTCTCTCCTATTTTCTGGTGGTTGCTAGAAATCCTTGACATTGGTTGGTTTATAGACACAGAACTTCAATCTCCATGTGTATCTTCACATCACCTCTTTGCCTTTGTGTCTCCTTTACCCTTCTCTTCTAAGGACATTCGTCATAGGATTTAGGGTCTTTCTTCATACAGGATGTTCTCTACCTGGGGATCCTTACCTTAATCACAGCTCTAAGACCCTTTTACCAAAGAAGGTCACATTCTCGAATTCTGAGTGGACATATCTTTTTGGAGGCTACCATTTAACCCATTATAGAGGGAATTATCCAGCTTAAAAATTAGTAGTTTACTCATGGCCCTCAGGATAAAGTCCAAACTCCAATTATCAATTCCAGCCATATTGGATACATCATTTGTGCTTACTCCCTGAATGGATTTAGCCTCTCCCTAACTTTCTTTGAGTTAAAAATCTTTCAGGATGGCCTGGGGGCATGGCTCCTGCCTAGCATAGTAAGTGTGAGGCCCTGAATTCAAAATCCATACCACAGACACATACAAAAAAAGTCTGAAGGGTTACATAGGTATTAAAATGCCCCAAATCCAGAAAACTGACACCACCAAAACTGGTGAGGATGTGGAGCAGTAGTGGGAAAGGAAGGCTCTGGATTTATCCTTAGCATGCCAAAAAAAAGCTCCACTCTGGGGTAGGATGTGGATCATGGAGAGGAGGGGAGGAAATAATCTGGAATTCTTTGTACTTTTTGCTCAATAAATTGTTACCACCTCCAAGGCTTTCCTCTTTTCAATCAGATTTTTCCTCTCCCTTGTAACTCAATAGCACTTTGTCATTGCTATCTTTATTAATGTTTTTGCTTATTTGTTACTTTTTTAAAAATAGGGTCTTGCTATGTAGCACAGGCTGGCCTTGAAGTCCAGCCTCAGCTCCCTGAGTGCTGGAATTGCAGCGTGATCACTATGCCCAGTTTTGTTACTTTTATCATGGTACTCTGTCTTTTCTCTAAAAGAAAATATCATAATAGAAAGAATATTGATTCTGGAGTCGTCAACCGAGTCCCAGCTCTGTTAGTAGCTGTGTAATACTGGGCAAGTGAATTTTCACTCTGAAAATCAGCTTTCTAGGTCACAAAACGGAGACAGTAACAACCATAGGGCTGCTTGTAGACATAATTTCTGAAAAGAATGTGACACAGTAGGTGCCTCTTTCACTACAGGAAGAGTTCTTTTTTTGGGGGGGTGGGTTTGAACTCAGGGCCTCACCCTTGCTAAGCAGGTGCTCTACCGTTTGAGCCACTCTGCCAGCCCAAGAGTATCTACTATTTTGTAAAAACATTTTTCCCCGAGAAAGTCCATAGCTTGCATTTTTTCTTTCTTTTTTTTTTTTTGAGGGTACTGGGGTTTGAACTCAGGGTCTACACCTTGAGCCATTTCGCCAGCCCTTTTTTGTGAATTTTTTTTTTTTTTGAGATAGGTTCTCCCCAACTATTTGCCCGGGCTGGCTTCGAACCCCGATCCTCCTGATCTCTGCCTCCTGAGTAAACCAGGATTAGAGGCGTGAGCCTGGCAAGGTCCATAGCGTTCATTGGCATTTTTTTTCAGACAGGGTCCGGCCTGGAATTAGCAATCCTTCTCCCCGCAGTCACCCCCACCCCCCCCAAAAAAAAAGATTGGGAATTTTCGGTGTACAGAGACCATAACAGCCTTGAGAGATTGGAGCCAGCGTTTCAGAGTTTAATGGTACTTTCTTATGCATACATAGTTTCTAATCTTCACAACAATCCTTTGAAGGAGGTGTTAGCATACCCATTATCCAGATGTAGGAACTAAGAAACTAAGTGCTTTGTAAAAGGTACAGTTTCTAACCAATGCAAACATTACTAAACACCTATTATAGGCCAAGAAGGGAGCTAGGCGATGGGGACCCAATTCCCACCGGAGCTGGGAAATACCGCGGCCTTCCCCTTTGCAGGTCTTCACCTCCAGCACTGTTCACGGAGGTTTCCTGGATTTTCGCGGAGTGCAATTCACTTTCCACTCGTTAGGCTGCAAAGCTCCAGGGGCACGGGGCTCCGCCCCACGCCGGGCCAGGCCCCGCCCCCTCTGCTGTCAGTTTTATCCGATGGTTCCCAGCGTCCCTCGGCTGCCCTCGGTAGTTTCCGGCAATAATCGAGAGTTTCTAACGTGCCTCCTGGTCTCTCGGCCGCCGTCCTCCCAACCGCTGCCCCCCTTTTCTGCGCCCTCCTTCCCTTCCTCCTCTCTCTCCCCCTCCCTTCCCCACCGCCCCGCCTGGCCCTGCTGGCGCCTCTGGCGCTACGGGCTGGGCAAGATGGCGGCTTTCGGGATCTTGAGCTACGAACACCGGCCCCTGAAGCGGCCGAGGCTGGGGCCTCCCGATGTGTACCCTCAAGATCCCAAACAGAAGGAGGTGCGTTCAAAAATCTGGGCTTCCAAAGGATCGGGGGCAGGTGATTAGCAAAAGAAGACGCATTGACAGTTCAGGGAAGGGGGGGGCGGGGCGATTAGGTGAGAGCAAAAGTCCCGAAAAGGGAAGAGTAAAGTGGATCCGTGTTGGAGAGCAGGGGTTTGGCCGGGGCTTCAAGGTATGAATAGTGAATGGTGTAGGGGCCACGCCAGAGGCGCCCCCTCTCTACACACACACCTCAGAAAGTTGTCTAAGGCAGCTTAGTGAGTGAGACTGCCCGCAAGGGAAGAGTGATGTTGAAGGAGCTCTGGGTGGTTCGGAATCTCAGTGACTGTGGGGGTGAGGGTGGGGTTCAAAAGAATATAAGGGCCTACCTTTAAATAACAATCTGGTCTACTCAGAATCCTCCGCCTCCCTTTCTCCCTTGTTCCCTTCTCCTCTGCCCTCCTCTCCCACAACCTCCCAAAGGAAAAAAGAAAACTAAAATGCCGTTTTCTTGCCTCAGGATGAACTGACGGCCTTGAATGTAAAACAAGGTTTCAACAACCAGCCTGCTGTCTCTGGGGATGAACATGGAAGTGCCAAGAACGTCAACTTCAATCCTGCCAAGGTGAGACAACCCTGCCAGGCTAAAGGAAAAGGCTGGACGAATCCGAGAAGGAGCAAAGGCCCTGGGTTGGGAAGACTTAAAGGGACATCTAAATAGCTGAGTTTGCCTTCATAATCCAATGCTACCACCTTGGCATTTTCCCATCAAAGGCAGAACTACCCATCTACCCATTCTTCCCACACTGAACTATAGTTTTCTTCCCTCAGATCAGTTCCAACTTCAGCAGCATCATTGCAGAGAAGTTACGTTGTAACACCCTTCCTGACACTGGTCGCAGGAAGCCTCAAGTAAACCAGAAGGACAATTTCTGGCTGGTCACTGCAAGATCCCAGAGTGCAATTAATACCTGGTTCACTGACCTGGCTGGCACCAAACCACTCACACAACTAGCCAAGAAGGTGAGGTACTGTTTCCTCTTCTTTAGAACGAGGGGGAGTGTGGGTACCCGAGTACCTGCCTATTCCCAGATTGAGCTACATGGGTATCAGTTCATTGGGTAATAGAGACCTCACT